TCTATTATTGTCAGTTGTATAGAATTCTCGCATATCCAGAGCCCACTCAACACAGTTTGACTGGATGCTATTGAAGCTTTCTAACGTGCCAACCAATATATCCGCAGTATGTTGTCAAATCTGTTCCTTAGTAAACGATATCTTGTTCCGAACTAAAATGTTTCGTAGACCAAGCTCCATATAATCTACAGCAATACACTTCGAAAACTCTCATAAGTTTTTTCTTTAAAGTTTTAACTGTACGGTACATTTTCGCTTGAGGGTCGCGCGTTGGATTTTCCCTATCTTCCGTCGGCGGATTTTCAGCCTGAGGTTATTATTGGAAAATCGGAAACGTTAGCGATGCGATCGGAATTTTTTTCGAGCGTTCCGAAAGAAAAACTTGCTGTTACAGCCTGATTCAATGAAAACATATTGTGTGGAGGTAACACAATTGGTGAAAGCTGTGGGGAGTTTTTTATTCGAACGGGACAAAAGGAAAATGGCGCTAACTGCAAAATTGCATTCTCATAAGGACGACTTGTTTAAAATCCATGTTGCTGGGGCCGCTAAATATGTATATAATCATATATGTTGAAGAAATTTGCTCAATTGCTTTGAGCTTTAATTTCGTTTGTTTTTGTGTACAGAATAAAGCTGCCAAAACAGTAAATTAATTTCGAAAATATCTGTGGGCTTATCTAATGACCAGAACAATATTGACATGAATTTGCGAGGTAACCACAAGTTGATGTTCAGGGGTTATACTAAGTATAACGATGACGCATCTTTCCTACGTCCTTTGGGATTCCAGTTGTACAGGTTATACAAGAACTACCTCCAGTGCCTAAAAAATAAAAATACACACAAACTACAAGGTTTAGGAAAAGCAGGAAATACAAAATACGCACCAGCATTGAGAGGATGGAAATTTATAAATAAGAATTAGTTATAAGGATTATGTCATGCGTCATCTGCAGATCTGTGCCATGTTAATCTAGTTGACAGCTCAGGTGACCGTTACATATATATATATATATATATATATCTCTTGAGACGTGGTCATTGTCGTCTAGACCAGCTGGGTGAAAAATTAAAGCTTCCGCCTTTTGTTGGGTACTTCGACAAAAATTTTAAGCAAGGAGGACTCTTTATACTTTTTTTATTCTCTCTAGCTTTCAATGGACTTTGCCATCATCATCAGGAGCTGCAATTACATTGATAACAGTAGCAACAATAGTGTCATATGAATTTTAATTAACTTAACTTACAGTAGTATGTGAGGATGTTGCTAATAATTGTTATTTACGTTCAGGATGAGGGAAACACCCAGTAACATGGTGAAAGCTGGATAAATGGTACATTGGTCAAAATTATATAAAATACACACAGCTGTGACAAGAACAAGTTAAAAACAGATTAAAAATGTTTAGATCATGAAAGCATTACATCGTGAAGCCACTTGATGATTGCACAAAATGGTGGGCATGGAATAATGAGTAAGATGAACCTTTAAAAATCAACTTGGTGAAACAGATGAAAACAAGGGTAATCAGCATCTCAGATAATACTTTCCAGACTTCAAATGTACGTAAACTAACAAAAATGTTCATTAACAATGGTTATCCGAAGTGTCTGATTAACAAGATCTTATTTAGCTCACCTCCCAGTATTTTGCCAAACTCTAATGATATAAGTAATAGTCTCACAACCCCTAATAACAGAACTGATAGAATTCCCAACAACAACACCAATTCTAACAGTACAACCACCGTCCCAAATTCCAGATCTGGCTTTGCTGTCCTACCCTATATCAAAGAACTGACCCCTAAGCTGATCAGATTGTGCAGTCTTTTGAACTTTCGAATTGCTTGCAAATCCGTCCTCACTATAAACTGCATTTTTTCAAAAATGAAAGACAAAGTCCCGCTGCTTGGCTTAACCAACACAGTCTACTCGATCAATTGCAACAATTGCAACCAAATATACATAGGTCAGACCTCCAGATCTCTTAAAGGAAGGATCACATCACATAAAAGTGATCCTGAAAGATGTGCTCTAGCATCTCATGTTAACACAACAGAGCACTCTATGAACTACACAAGTATCAAAGTTTTCGATAAAGAAAAACACCTATCCAAACGTTTATTCCTGGAAATGTCCCACATTTTCATGAATGACAACTGTATCAATAAGAAGACAGATGTTAAGCAACAGAGTGTCATTTACTCATATTTGCTAAACTGCGAAAAATTGGAGCACTTACACATCTCCCCAAATTTTGACTCTTCACAACCATAAATGGAATCTGGTTCTTGGTCTATTCCACCAATAAACTTCATTCCATTCAAATTTTAATAACTTTTTCCTCGCAATTAAATAATAACTGTTAATTTAATTGCCCATTAATAAAATATAGTCAATTCAACTGCCTCTGGTCGGTTTGACAATTTCTTACCTAACACATTTTGAAAATCACATCATCTGAAGTGATTTGGCAACGTAGCACACGCCCACAAAAGAATTCGTTCCATCATTCTACACAGACACTGATAAGCTTCGGCCATCTGTCAAAAGGTTCATCTTACTCATTATTCCATGTCCACCATTTTGTGCAATCATCAAGTGGCTTCACGATGTAATGCTTTCATGTTCTAAAAATGTTTAATCTGTTTTTAACTTGTTCTTGTCACACAGTTGTGTGTACTTTATATAATTTTGACCATTGTTCCATTTATCCAGCTTTCACCATGTTACTGGGTGTTTCCCTCATCCTGAACGTAAACAACAATTAGCAACATCCTCACATACTACTGTAAATTAAGTTAATTTAAATTCATTTTACACTATTGTTGCTACTGTTATCAATGTAATTGCAGCTCCTGATGATGATGGCAAAGTCCATTGAAAGCTAGAGAGAATAAAAAAGTATAAAGAGTCCTCCTTGCTTAAAATTTTTGTCGAAGTACCCAACAAAAGGCGGATGCTTTAATTTTTCACCTACATATATATATATATATATATATCAAAGTTATATCTATTAGTATATCGTATCTTCGTTTTGTGGCGCAGTCTAAGTTAAGGTTTAAGTGAGGCAATACTTTTATAAAATAATAATGTCAATATTTCCGAGATTGTCAGGTCTATACTATGATGTCCTTATTCGACTGCCTGGGCATAAGCCGGTTATAATCTGGTTTCAGCATAATCAGTGGCTACATATCCTAACACCGTCACTAGTGTTGGTGTCAATTGCATCTTCTCTCCATTTCCAGTTGTTTTCCTCCGTATAGCAGTGCGATACTACCTCTGTAATGATAGTGATTCTGACTAGTTAGTAGTAAGTTCCCTCGGTCACAATTTTTCTACCACAGACTAAGATGAATCATCAATTCAGACAAAACATATGTTAAAGGTCTTTTTTAGCGAAGTCGATGCATACACTCAGATCTCAGTTGACGATAAAAAATACCAATCTGTAAACATTGCGCCTTGCCTGTTACGCCAAATCAAGTAGGCATACAAGTTTAAGGATACATATAACGGTAAGTAATATAAAGTATATTACCGATATTCTATACCTACGACTCAAGTATCATTGTTCGAAGACTCGACATTTCACTAAGCATCCCGTTCCCTACTTCAACATACTACCAAATTGAAAATGTTCCAGGTCATTTTTAAAATTCCCCAGTCCTAGTAAGCAATTCCAAGACACCTCTCAACAGACGCGCTTCCTCCGCTTTGCTGATCTCCTTCCTTCCTTTCTTTTTCCTTTCCTCCCTTTGATTAGGAGCATATGTCCTGCGGACCGCTCTGACAGACAAAGACGAATCGATGACGAAGTCTCGCACCGTTAAGCGAGCAGCACTGAGCCAGTGTTGCCATTATCGCGCCCTGTGAGGTTGGACTTGTATATTTATACAATGCACTGTATACACATTTCTAGGAGCAACATTTCCCGTGCGAAAAGAAACTAATTAAAATTGAATTTTCTCGCAGCTATGCTCTTTTCGGGGCGCGTTCTCCCAAGCAATTATATCCTTTTCCTGTGCGCGACGTGAGTCCTCCAAAGCGAATTATTCCAGTCCGAGTAATAACTGCGACGTCGACAAATTTCCATGCATTTTCGTCGATGCCCATAAAGAAAATGACAAAAGCGCAGTGCCTTGCAGCGACAAAGCCACGCAGCCACGTATTCATTTTCTTTTGTATTGAGAATAGTCGCCATATCTAACGATACTCCAGTCAAATTAGTATTCGATTCGAGATAGTCGGTGATAAAATTTATCCCTAGAAGCAGGCCGCACCACCACGTTTAACACGCCTAACAGCAAATAAATTGACTGCGTGGACCATACTCAGTTTTCACACCGAGTACTCGAGTACGACAGATACTCCGGATTTATCAAAAAACTCTGAAGAGACTTTCAGTTCTGCAGTAACGTAATGGATACTTACATAAGTTTCATACAACTAATTCATTCAACGGTTTGTAATTGAAATCGAACCGCTGCGAAAGCACATAGCTGCTATCTGTTGGAACTGTAAAGATCTCAGTTCACGTTTAATAGCCCAGTCACCTTGTGACTGCTAGATAGCTGATTAATCTAGCTGTATAGTAGATGTGGTCTACTTGCCTTGAGTAAACTAAACATGATGCTTTCATCCGTACGATTCTGGTGATAGATGGCGCTTTGCGTTGTCTTATTTCGATATACAATACCTCCGAGATAGAGGATAGTTACGATGCTTTCGTATATTTCTGTAATTGCTTTCATTTGCGAAATGAAATGATCTGGAAGAACACGAATAATGACGAGACCGTGCGTTTATCAATTTTCAAGAAAAATATTTTGAGATATGGCCAATTTCCTTCTTTCCTTTTCTGGTAATCTTCTAATTGTTTCTTACGCACAGTTTATCGAACATTTTTATAATATGTTTCTCGTAAAAATCGAAAAATGCGGAGAGTAAGGAATTTCATAAAAAAGACTTTAAAACGTTATAGTTATTTTTAGGAAACAAAGCGTGTGTTAATACAACTGCCTGAGAAACTAGAAATTTCAGATTTCTCCATAAATAGCGCCATCAAGTATCACTTTAATAAACCTAGCGGAAACAATTGAGTTCAACTTTAGATTAATTGCCTGCGATTTTGGATCGTTAAAACCCTTCTTTTGGCTCAGATGGGCTTTCAAAATATGAATTAAGTCATCTATATTGAAATAACGGATACTAGGAGTAGATAGCTTTTGGGTATGCAGCTGCCCTAGTCTGTAGCTTAACCTTAGCATAACCAATTACGGATTTGTAATCTTAGGAAAAAATGGAGTATTTGCCAACTATATGATTCAGCGTATCGATTATCACCAAAACAAATGTACACTGAATGGATAGTATACTAGACTTGCACGACAGAAATACATGCCCACATAATATACACCAATCACAAGAAGAACCTGGTGTCCTCGATAAAATCTCTTAATTTGAACATATGGTGGATGTGACATCAAAGCTAACTCGGTCCTGGAAAAACAAAGAACAACAATTGTAGAAGCTACCAAAGCCGGATAATCTAAGGTACCAAATTCATAAAAGTGTGTCTTCGGACACACTACATTGTCCAAAACTTTCGCACTAGCCGAGTTCTGAGCTGACCACAAAGATATATGTAAGGACTTTAAAAGCTAGACGACGTATTGATAATGAAAAATCTGTGTGGCAAATGACAACCTGGTACAAGTATGTGAGGTTACGTAGAATGACAGCAGATATTATCAGACCAATTGAACGTCGACAACCCAGCATACCGAAACTTATTAGGTGTAATTTTGCCAGGTTGCCAGTTGTACAAATTTTCTGCCAATTTATAAAAGTGCAACCAACATTTCGCCGCTGTATCGCCAAGATCACGTGCTAATCTAGGCAACCAGTTGCATAAATTTCCAGTAACGTGATATCAAAAACCTTTATTTTCATTCAGACAATATACAATGGTATTGGAATTGTCAATTTTTCGTACGCAACAACCTACAACTAATCTTAAATTGCAATGTTTAAAAATTCATTAACATGATAAAAGCTCTTGTTTATCAAAAATTGCTTCAAGTGGAACTTGAACTGGTTAATATTTTTAACCGAGGTAATGTGGCACGGTAAATTATTGAAAGGAAGCGGACCAATTTTATTGAGCGATCGAAATGCTGCTATTGATTTGCTGAGGTTTATATATAAATTATTACCAGTCCTTGTATCATAGTTATTTTTAAAAACTTTTAAGCACAATTCATATACCTGCCAATGATCGGATGTATCTTTTTTTTTACACAAATACGCAGAACGCGTTGACCAACCCCAGAGAAATACTCAATACCAGAATAGAAAAGAGTATCATGGAGATTATTACTCATCACATACAGATGAACTTAACGGATACCATGCGGTACCATCATATCATAAAGGATTACGTTGGGCACAAGTTAGTCCCCATTTAATATCGCTAACGCTAATTTGTTAACTGCTTTAAGTATCGACCATCTGGTAACGGTACTGAACCAAGCCAGTCAACCCTGACATAAGCGCTAGCCACGATACTGTAACTCCAGATCGAGAGCGCCGGCGCTGCTGTCAGTCGCACACAGAGTGTGGTGCATAAAGGTTGCCATCATCCGGACCGACGGCGTGTCCCGTCTGTAAATACTTCTCCAAGTTATAAGGGCAAATCTACGGAGACATTTATAATATGAAATATACAGGGTGACAGGTAAATAGGTGTAAAACATTTTAGGAGGTGATAGTACAGCCCCTTTGCTATCGAAAGTAGTATATAATACCATATCCTATATTCAAAGGTTGAAAAGTTATTGAAGATTTAAGATTTTTTTAAAAACAATCCATATTTCAGAGTAAAAAAGTCGAGCGAGAAAAAAGTTGGCGATTAAACATTTGTTTTTTGTGGTTTTGGGTTATTATTTCAATAATTACCTATTATAAATTAAAAAAGATTCGAAAACAATACCAAACAACGTATTTATTTTCATTGAAAAATGTTTAACTAAGAAAAACAAATAACGTTTTACAGTAAGTAAGGTGTTTTACAAAAAAATCAGTATACAAAAAAACGTACAAACAATTTAAATAATATCCTTGTTTCATAAGGAATCTAAATTGGTATGATAAGTGCACAAGTGAAACTATACTCTGGGCGCTGAAGAAAGACATTAAACGTAAACAGTGATCAGCACGTGAACAGATCCCTCGAAAGCATCCACGGATATACTCCAGTCACTTTAGGTCTAAACATCCTCGGCAGTGTATTTCTAGTGAATCCACAGACCCTTTTTCCTGTCATCTTGAGACTAGAAAAAGGATGACTGTTAAAATAAGTTACCTTGATCTTTCATGAGCTCCCAGTACAAAACATCATCGATATATTTTTGATGTAGGAACAACAAATTGGTTTAGAAAACATCCACTTTGAACCTAAATTGACTGGAGTAACATCGATCTACAGACAAATTCAAGGTCACTAGCAGTCGTCGGCGCTCTACGAATCTGCACAGGTTTGGACTTGTAAACGTGATTATAGATGACACGACAGGCATCTAACAGTTAATTCACGCACAGGATTGCATTGCATACGCATTACGCATTCAGTAGCGTATACTCGTTTTTCGCGAGTGGAACGTTTTGTTTATATATTGCCTAAGATACGATGTCTGACACAGATACAGCCGACGAAGTGGTTGACATCAGCGCAACCCCACCCAAAAAAAGGGCTAAGAAGCTACATTTAAGTGCAAATGAAAAACAAATAATATTAAATATATACAAAAACCAAATTCAAGAAAAACCCGATTTGGTCGTGGACGAAGTTATATGTAAGGTAGCACATATTTCTGGAGTATGTCGGTCCAGTGTTTATAGGATCATTAAGGAATATAGGAGCACTCACTCACTTTCTGAGCCAAAACCGTATCCTGCAAGAAAAAGGATAACGGACGGAGTAGATGACTTTGACAGAACTGCCATCAGGAGGAAAGTGCATAATTTTTTCTTCCGAAATGAGATACCTACAATAGATAAGATATTAAGATTAGTTAATGCTGATGAGGATCTTCCATCATTTAAAAGAACCACATTCCGAAAACTTTTGAAGGAACTTAATTTTCGATTCTTGAAACGGGGAAGAAACAGTATGTTAATAGAGAAAGAAATTGTTGTGTGGAGAAGGGAATACCTTAGGAAGATTCGGAAGTTTCGCGATGAAAAAAGAAAAATTTACTATTTGGACGAAACGTGGGTGAATGCTGGACATACTCAAGCGAAAGTTTGGGTCGACAAATCAGTAACATCATCAAGGCAGGCTTTTCTAGACGGTCTTTCGGCTGGATTGAAAAATCCTGCAGGTAAGCTCCTTCATCTATCCGGCAATTTAATTTTGATAAATTCGGGCAAATAATATGCTGTGATAGCAGATAATGTGTGATATTCTCCAAAAATGGTGCATTCGCAGTGTAGTCATTAGGAAAAAACTTCGACCCTCTTTTAAGCGTTATTTTGAAATTTATTATCATTTTTGGGTGCAGTCAATTTGCTTTGAATGGGTTTTGAGAAGTTGCAAACTTCAATTTTCTACGTTTTTCAGTTTTTGATCAGCATTCCGTGACTCTTAAATTCAGCTAAATGAACTCAATTGCCTCATTCCTTCAAATTTAATCAATCCATAGTGTAAGGAATAATTTATTTCCAGGAAAAGGCAAACGGCTGATCATTTGTCACGTAGGTAGTGAAGACGGCTTTGTTCCCGAAGCACTGTGGGCCTTTGAATCAAAAAAGACAGGGGACTATCATGAGGAGATGGACGGCAATTCCTTTGAAAATTGGTTCTCCAAAATGTTACTAAAGCTGGAGAATAACGCTGTTATTGTACTGGATAATGCCCTGTACCATTCTAGAAAAATAGAAAAAATTCCCACAATGGCAACTAAAAAAGCAAACATACAACAATGGCTGGCCTCAAAACAGATCGATTTTGATGAAACAATGGTCAAGGGTGAATTGATAAGTATAGTCAATAGACATAAATACAAATACGATTTTAAAATGATCGACGAAATGGCCAAAAAACAAAATAAAACTGTCTTGAGACTGCCACCCTACCATTGTGAGCTGAACCCTATTGAGCTGATTTGGGCCAACATAAAGCAATACGTGGCGTCGAATAATAATACTTATAAATTTTCTGATGTTAAAAATCTCTTTCACATCGCAGTCAATAGAGTTACGGCAGAGGAATGGAAAAACTGTATCCGCCACGTTCGGGAGAAGGTTGAGGTCAAAATGTGGGATTTGGACAATGTCATCGATACCCAAATTGAACCTCTAATAATTCATTTAAACGATTCAGAAGATTCAAGTTCCTCTTCTGAATGAGTGCGCGCAGCTTACTTACTAATAACTAAAAAGTGTAGTTAACTCATTTGTGAATCTCTAACTGAAATTTACTGTAAAAGATAATAATTATCTTGTATGAAATTTTTGATGACTACCCATAATATCTTGATGCGGTTCTGTAATGTCTCCTGCGCCTAAACACTCACTCACGAGCAATATGCGTGTATTTGTTTGGGTTTAGTTTCTTTCTTCAGCGCCTAGAGTTTAAACATAATGTATTGTAATACAACAATAGGCAGTAAATTTACCAATGGCTTGTCTCCTATTTTCACAACTATCTGACTGATAAGAAAGTGTTTTTGTGAAAATAATGTAACTGTAAGTTATGGGATAGTTATTATTTTAAACTACGGTTAAGTTACACGATTAGATTATTTACACAGTTGTAATTGTACTACAGATTAATAAAAATTGAACTAAAAGTTACTACAATTGGTAAGTAAAATACAATAATGAAATGAAGGTAAAATTCATTGCAATTGTTGTTCGAACTGACGCCCGCCGTTTCTTATGCAAGCCCGTAGTCTTTTTCTCATGTTGGTCCGCGTGATGGGGCCAGTTAATTGTCCTCTGATAGTGTCAGCAGCAACGGTGCAAGAGTGTCTATGGGCTCAGCGTACACCAGTGACTTCATGTGCCCCCATAAATAATAGTCACACGGTGTTAAATC